CCTCCAGTTTATGCCGTTGGGCCCTTGCACTTTCTCCAGAAAGATGTCGAAGATAAAAGTCTAGAAATTCTTGGATCAAATCTTTGGAAAGAAGATCAACACTGTCTTGAATGGCTCGATTCCAAAGAGCCAAACTCTGTTGTCTATGTAAATTTTGGAAGCATAACAGTCATGACACCTAAACAACTCATTGAATTTGCTTGGGGCCTTGCAAATAGTGGTCAAACCTTCTTGTGGATCATAAGGCCGGATCTTGTCACTGGGGACGAAGCGATTTTACCACCAGAGTTTCTTGAAGCCACCAAAGAAAGAAGCCTGCTGGCAAATTGGTGCCCTCAGGAGAAAGTTCTTAGCCACCCTTCCATTGGAGGATTCTTAACTCATAGTGGATGGAATTCAACTCTCGAGAGTATTGGCAGTGGAGTGCCAATGATTTGTTGGCCATTTTTTGCTGAGCAACAGACTAACTGTTGGTTCAGCTGCACCAAATGGGGGATTGGCATGGAAATCGATAGTGATGTAAAGAGGGATGAAGTGGAAATTCTTGTTAAAGAGTTGATGACTGGAGAAAAGGGAAAAGAGATGAAGAAAAGGGCCCTCGAGTGGATGAAATTGGCTAAAGATTCTGCTAAAAATTCAGAAGGATCATCTCACAAGAATCTGGAAAAAGTGATACATCAAGTTCTTCTCTCTACAAAACTTTAGAGAAATTAATTGGCCTCCTTCATGATGCATCCTTTGACACTGCTTTATTTTTTTAGTTATTTTCCAGTTATTCTTTCATGATTTGTGGGGATCATGTCACTGTATCTATGCTATGTTTGCTTTATATAGATTAAAAATTAAAAGGAATTATTGATGAAAAAGAATCTTTATATTGTTAAAGGTAAATTCAAAATATAAATTAACATATAATGATTTGTGGTTACTTATCTTAATAAGATTGATTTAAAAAGAATCTTAAACCTTAATATGATATCAATAACCATATTAGGTAAATGTTCTCCTACGCAAATGTTAATTCTAAGTACATTATTTCCTAATTCCTATTGCATTAAAAGCAATATTTTAAAAATTGACCCAGCATCAACCTGAAAAAGATAAAGGGTCAAGAGTCAAAACGTCGAACTCGTGGTCGAACCAGATTCAAAGTAAATACTAATTCATTATTCAGATTTATTATTATATAATTATTCTTGATGCTTCAAAAATTAATTAATACATTAAAATAATTTACTTTGTTAAAATCAAAATCTTTAGAGTTCATACAAAATGATGTCTAACATTATTATGTTAATAATGAAGTGAATTTAAATAAAATTAAAAAATTTATAATAAATTAAAAACTGAGGTGAGCATTATTTTACTTTAATTGGGAACCAAAACCAAATGAAAATTGAAAGGAAGTGGACAAAACCAACAGGCATCCAATCCCAACTTTTCTTGTAATTCAAAGGAAGTGTGTCTATAAAAGCAAACTAACAGGCCGCAGGCATCTGAACCTTATTAATGGGCTTTGACGTTAATTTATGAGCCCAAATTGAAGTCAAAAGGTTCGAGATTAAAATTTCAAAAACCGGGAAAATCTACTCCGATTCATCGGTTACCAGTTGAATTGATCGGTTCAATGTGTTTTTTTTATCGGTTTTGTTACATTTGATTAATAACATATGACTGCCTAGCTTTATGTCAGGTTCTCGATTCTACTGGTTGAACCGACCAAGCTGCGTTTGTATTAATGACATTGATTAAAAGTTATTTTTCTTTGAATCCGAGAAATTATCATGTCAGATTAATCTTATAACCTGTGTTCTGTTAATTTCATTTTACAAATAACAAATAAAATTTCAACAATAAACCTCTTTTTGTCAATATGGATATTAAAAATATCAAATAGAACCGCCATCACCATCCCGCCATCAACTCTCTTTCATCATTTTATATGATATTTTGCTGTCTATTTCCGCGTTGGGTATGGACAATTGCACCACTCAGGGCCCATTGTCTCAATGGTCGATATTTTATCATCAATTGGTGATTCCATGCTTATGTCAAAAATTGTTATTATTCCTTTTTTATATATATAGTTATTAACGAGATATCAATATTTTTTTGGAGATATTAATATGTAAAACATATTAGGCTGGAGTTTTGTGTGGTTGAAACCTAATCAGTCCTTTGTGTATATTGTTGGAAAATATAAATTTGTCATGTGGGCATGCATATATAATTAATTGTGTATAATGCTATCTTAAAGTTAAGTTCAAAATTTAAGTGATCTAATAAAGAAGATTTTCAAGATCCCGAATTAATATTCAATAATAAGCAATTATTCCCTATGAATTAAAGTATGTTCCGTATTAATTAATTCTCTTGATGATTTGACATGAAAATTTTGACAGTTCATAAAATTTAAGTTTCTTAAAGATTCAACAAATGGTACCGAGTCAATTTCATGTTAAACCAAAAGAAAGAATTTTAGGGTTGAATTCATATTTTGGATTCTCTAATTTTGGAATGCGGATTTTAACCCTAAATTTCAAATTTTTTAGAATTTTTTGTGTTTTCAAATTAGACAATTTTAAGAATTAATTGTTGAATTTGAATACGATTATAATTGATTCTTTATGTTATAATCCAAATTCAACTTTGAGGTAAATTATTTGAATTATGCTTTGAAATCACGATTGCATGATTAACATAATAGTCAATGAATTAAAATTCAAACATTGAATTATTTGTTGCTTTGGTCGGATAATTGGTGCCTTTGGATAGCGTGAGATATTGACTGAAGAAACCTTTTTAATAATTTTGGACGCTATAGCGTTGACTCACTGAATTACGTGTTTTTTAAACTAAAATAGAAATGTTAAGGAGCAATCAATTTCAAATCTTGGTACTTAATATTTACTTTGAATTATTAATTTTTTAAAATAGATCAGTAGAAACAACATGTTACAAAAGTAACTTCTCTTACCCTTAACTAAATTAATTTATTTGAAATATTATGAAAGTTGTTTGTACGTAATTCATGTGAATATTCACTTTTATATATAGATATTCAAATGAAACAATACAGGTTTATTTGGGTGGGTTGATCTATGTAGATTAGCTGTCATGACCAGACGAGGTATTAAGCCTATGTTTGGTGAAAATTAAAATTCATATTTTAAAGTTCACAGTTAATTTTGACCATACATTTCATGAAATACATAACTTTTCAATCATACGTTTTATCAACTTTTATCAAAAATTGTTAAAAGTTTGATTTTAATCATCACCAAACGGGAATTGAACCCCCCCCCTCTCTTTTTTTGATTAAATGATTTTTATAATAGTGATTTTTTGGGGATGTGTTTACAAAGTAGAAAAAATTTTGATTTACGTACTACGTTATTTTATTAAAAACACGTGATTGAAAATAAATTTAGAAGAAAATGAGATTTTTGATAATGGAGCTCAAACAGGACATAGACAAGGATAAACTTTTGTAATGTTCAAAATAAAGTAGCCCCCCAGGGCACATCCAAGTTGGCGGAACAATCACATTGGGGGGCTCTGGAACCAAGTGTGGGGAGTTCGATTCCTGGTTGGAGTAGCTTGGTGATGTAATAACCAGAGGAAGGGTTGGAGCAGCTTGGTGATGTAATAACCATGGAGGAGGGTCCCTTTGGGGAAGGAGTAAAAGCCATGTGGGAACCTGGGAACCAACAAGGGCACAACCTGCGATTTACCTCCACTAGTCACTGAGGGCCCCGGGGCTAGAGGTCCAAGATTTAGTCCGGCTAAACTGGGACACCTGGGTTATCAACAAAAAAAAAATGTTCAAAATAAAGTAGAATATTGTAGGGGCAGCCGTCATTGTAATTTCAAGTAACATCATTATTTTGCGGGAAAATTGCAGTCGAGGTACCAAATATTTCGTTTATTAGCAGACTTTGTTCATATCTTTAGTTTGTGCCACCCACAGTCTCAAACCTTTCAAAAATATACATCAGGGGTCCAAATGGATGAAAACTTGACCATTACTTGACCAAAAAAGTAAATGTTGACCTATTTTGACTAAATTGGAAAAGGATAAAATGGTAACTTGATAATTACCATATTAAATAAATTGAAAAAAAAAAATCTTTTTCCCAGCACCGCCGCCGCCGCCACTCTCGTGACTCCCACTGCCACCGAGACTGTCCACCATCCTTTCACAAAAAATAAAACCCTAGCTCAACAACTAGGAATAATTTCATCACCATTTTCATCATCGTTGTCATTGTCCTCATTAGCATCAACAGCAGAAGCAAAATCTTCTATGGTTTCGGGTTCTGTAAACTCCTCATCATCATCATTTTCGGGCTCTTCGAGAACAGGCTTATTGGCAACAATATAGTCGCATTGCTTGTTGTTCTGAGAATATTGCGAGTGGTTTTGGGAAGAAGAAGAAGAGGCTTTATTAACGTCGTCAATAGTAAAGAGAGAACCGAGAGTGTTACGAACCCTAACGTCACAAGATTTTTCTCTCAGGCTAAAAAAGAGGCCTAAAGCTTCATTTTTTGAGGCGGAGAAAGATTTCTTTCGCCGGAGCTCAGGAAAAAACGAGGTGGATTTGGAGCTGGTAGTTTTAGGTGATGGCGGCAGTTTGTTGGAGGAGTTAGACGAAAACAGAGATTTGATGGCGGCGACGATGGCAGACGAGGGGCGGCGAGAGGAGGAGGGCGTATTTGAAGAGGATTGATCTAAGGTGGTGAGCGTTTGCAGAGGCAGGAAGGGCAAAACCCAGTAAATTGCTCATCTAGGTGTCAGTCGCAACTGAATGAGGAGTGCGGCGACTGCAGCGGCACTGTCGGGTCTATAGCTGTAGGATTCATAACCGTTGAAGCTGGTTGTCTACACTCAACCCGCAGCTGCTCATTTCACTCCATCTTGCATTTCACTCACAATGTAACACCAAAAAGGCCCAAAAATCGCCAACAGAAAGTGATCAGCAATGGATTTAAACAAAACCAAAAAATTTACACTGTTACACTGAAAAGATTGAAAATATGTATATAAAGGGGGTTGGTTAAGGGTACCTGTGTTATTCGGGTGGATTTGTATTTGGCGCATTAGGAGAGGGAGAACTGAGAGGGTACTTGTGTTATTCGGGTGGTGCTGGGAAAAAGATGGGGGTGGGGTGGTTGAAGAAGACATCCCTTTTTTTAATTTTTTTCTTAGATTTTTTATTTTTTGATTTTTTCTTGATTTTTTGATTTTTTTCAATTTATTTAATATGGTAATTATCAAGTTATTATTTTATCCTTTCCAATTTAGTCAAAATAGGTCAACATTGACTTTTCTTGGTCAATTAACGGTCAAATGGAAGGTTTCCATCCATTTGGATCCCGATGTATATTTTTAAAAGGTTTAGGACTGTGGATGATACAAACTAAAGATTTGGGTAAAGTCAACTAATAAACAAAAGGTTTGGTACCTCGGCTGCAATTTTTCCTTATTTTGCAAATAAAACAATTTAACATTTATTAAGTAATTAATTAAGTTAATACGTAGACTTGAGCTCTTTTACAAGTTGGATTGCAAATTTATCTTTGACCAAAGTTCAATAAATGAAAATAAAATTAGACAAAAAAAAAAGGGAAATAGGTAGGAAATACTGTCGTTGTACTTCGGTATGAATGATGTGAAAAATTGATATTTGTCTAGAAAGTTGTCCATTTGACGTGACTCCCAAGTTTCGTATAGTTTTCCTAGTCAACTTGTAAATGTTTTGTTCCTAACTGTGAACTTTGATTTTAAATAATAATAACATTTGAGGGTGTGGTCAAAATTAACTGTGAACTTTGATTTTAAATAATAATAAC